AATAGGAGTTAATAGTGCCGATAGCCTAGTAGTACGTTAGATAGATCGCTACTATATAGAGACTACGCCTAGTTCAAGACGACAATAGACAATAGAGAACTACGGACGAGAGGGACCTACCCGACGTAGCCCGTCTCTAATAGTAAGTTCAGGAGCTTAAGGAGTAGAACGATTAACTATAGAACAAGGTCTTTAAGTTAGTCACCGAAGGGAAGACCGTTAAAGGAAGGCTTAACAAGGCGGTCCAACAAGTGGATATACTCCGAAGAGAGATCTTCCAGGTCAACGACGTACTCGACTAAGGGAATATTAGATAGAGCGGACCCTACGATATAGGCGCTAAAGACTACTATCCTATAGAAGTATAGAATCCTAAGTATAAGTACTATAATTAGGCTAGACGATAGTATCTCAAGAACATTAAACCTTAGAATTAGAAGGAGTTCTAGAAGACAAGGGCCTATATTAGCCTCGGGAAGAATAATAACGATATAAAGGGACTTGACTACGAGAGCAAGTTCCAATAGGCCGACGAGTTGGAATCACGGCGACTATACCCGGAGAGGGTAGACTATATATAGGTACTATAGTTCTAGTATATTATATACACCTATAAGTATTACTTTAAGGAGAAGTACGACTATAACCACTAGTCTATCTACAAGACTATACCCGACGGGCGCCCTAGGCTGATCCGATAGACGTTTGACCAAGGACAGGGGGCATCCGATCTACTCTAGTACTTCGAGTATTCGGAGAACGGGAAGGTTTGTATACAACTACGGCAGGTATAGCCATCCCTGTATATATATTTATAGGACGATAACATTGGCTACTATAGTAGCGTGGATTACGTCTAGTACTTGTAAGCCAAAAGCAAGGAGTACTAGTATAGGAAGATAGAGACAAGAGAACGCTACTCGCGGGACTTGACATCCTAGAGGAAGAGATATAACTCGGACCTAACCCAGGAATAGGGGGGCGAGGGCAAAGACGAGGACCGGTTGGTATAGAGCAGCAAGCAATGGTTACAAGAATTCGGCACTATTGTAGAAGTAGATAGGGACGCCTCGACGTAACAACCAAGCTTGGGAAACGGCTCTAGGCCCTCCGAGGGGCCCGACAACCTCTAACACCCTTACTACGACGACAAGCCTGCTAGTACAGGAAGAACTAGGCGAAACGGAAGGGCTATAACGATCTCCCGGCAAGCGAAGTAGAAATCGCTACTATATTAGGTACTAGGATCGATAGAAGACTCTGGATCCTAGTATACTAGAAGCAATACTAGGTATTAGCTTTGGTAGATAGAGGGTTGGAACTCAACCTCATCTCACTAAGATTTATCAACCAACTCTAGGTTTTATAGAGGCTGAAGGACATCGCATATATAGTCAAGGGACTATTCGAAACATAGTAGGCTCGATATAAAACTAAGCCACTCGATATCACTATCGAAGGGAAGACTACGAAAGTCATTTTCGATATCGTAGATATAGGGACCGATAAGGATATAATCTTAGGATTCCCCTAGTACGAAGATTATAACCCGGATATCAGTTAGAAGGGAGGTAGCCACCTACAGCCCTAGCTAGAACTAGGACTATATCCGACTAATATAATAGGAGGCGTAGACGACGGATCACGAAAAGGTAGTACGACGAAACACAAGCACTTCTAGGATCTACTGCAAGAGGCGGGCAGCGGTAGACGACCCGCTATACACTCAGGAAGAAGCGGTAGTCACAAGGGGTTGAACAAAACAGACCTAGAACGAGGCCGACAGTAGACTCCAGGGGGTACGCCAAGGCAGGCTACCAAGGAGGTCACTGTCATCTCAGTCGATAACTATAGCAATACTTAGTTCTAGGAGTAGGTATAGTAGGCCGACGTAGCCGAAGTTACAGCTAGCGGCAAATTCGTATACTACAAAGGCGTAGCAAAGAACGACGAAACGGAGCGGATCCCAGAGGAATACTAGGGACACCCGGCGTTCGAGATAAAATATATAGAAGGGTTGCTAGACTATAGACCTTAGGATTACGAAATCAAGCTTAAGGAAGACGCCTAGCTAAAGTTCTTTAAGGTATACTATACTAACGAGCTCTAGAACAAGGAGTTAAAGAACTATATCAAGAAGAATCTTAAGATCGGATATATCAGACTATCGAAGTCACTAGCGGGATATCCGATCCTCTTTATACCGAAGAAGGATAGGAAGCTCTAGATATATATAGACTACCGATAGTTGAACGATGAGACTATGAAGAATAGGTACCCCTTGCCTAGGATCGACTAGCTTCGAGACTACCTAGCAGGAGCCCGATACTTTATACGACTCGACCTTCCGACTGTATATACCTACGTTCGTATTAAAGTAGGGGATAAATAGAAGACGGCTTTCCGGACTCGTTATAGACTCTACAAGTACCTGACAATGCCGTTTAGGCTAACAAATGTATTAGCTACCTTCTAAGCTATAGTTAATTATATGATACGCTTGTATCTAGACAAGTTCGTAGTGTATTACCTTAATAATATCCTTATCTACTCGAAGACGCTTAAGGAATATAGGGGGTATATGAAACAAGTGCTAGATGTACTATACGAGTAAAAGCTCTTAGTTAATAAGGAAAAGAGCAAGTTCTATATCTAGAGAATAGTTTTCCTCGGCTACGAAATTATACTAGGAGAAGTTAGGATAGAACTAACTAAGGTTGAGGTAGTTAGGAACTAGCCTATACCTACGACGACGATAGAAGTAAGAGCCTTTATTAGCTTTATCAACTTCTACTATATATTTATCAAGGGATTTAGTAATATTGTACGACTACTGTATAACCTTATGAAGAAGGACGTCGAGTTCTAGTAGGGGAAGCAATAGAAGTAGGCCTTTCAATAGCTACGAGAACTAGTCACGTCAGATATAGTACTCCTGTTACTAGATTCAATAAAACCCTATAAAGTCGAGACCGATGCCTCGGACTTCGCAATAGGAGGACAACTTATATAGAAGGACGACAACAGTAAGAAGTGTCCTATCGCCTTCTTCTCGAAAAAATTCAACGATATATAGAGGAAGTATATAGTTCACGATAAAGAACTGATAGCTATTATTATAGCTTTCTATAAATGGAAGTTATACCTTAGCGGTATAGAACAACCAGTCCAGGTGTATATAGATCACTAGAACCTCTAGTACTTTGTAGTAAAACGGGACCTTAGCCTACGATAGTCTCGATGGCGAGAGTTTCTAATATAGTTCCACTTTACGATCAAGAGGATTAAGGGAACGGAGAACGCCTAGGTAGATGCCCTGAGCAGGAGATCCGACTATATAGGTAGGTTCCAGGAGATAGTACCACCGATGTTCGAGGAATAGGCGGATGGATCGCTATATTACCTAGTATAGCCTATAGAATACAGCGCTGTATTTCGGGAAACACGCCTTAGCAGGAATTACTAGTGCGATATAGGATATATGAGGGATAGTATTGTATAGGAACAAGACGACGAGATATAGGGAAAAGGGGTCTATAGAAAGGACTCCCTACTCTAGTATAACGACAAGGTATATATCGCTCCCTACGAATAGGGAGCACTTGTCAGGGAAGTTCACGAGTCAAGACTCGGGGGATATATAGGAATCGCTAAGACGGTTATAAAGATCAAGCAATACTACGATTTCCTAGGACTTAGGAAGAAGGTTAAGGAGGTGCTCGCGGTATACGACTTATGCCGTCGGAGTAAGCTAGATAGGTATAAGCCCTATAGACTCCTTCAACTGCTGCCGGTTGTAGTACGACTATAGAGCTCGGTGACAATAGACTTTATTACCAAGCTGCCGGTATCAGAAGATACGATAACAGGAACAACTTACGATAGTATCCTCACTGTAGTCGATCGACTTATTAAGTAGAGCTACTTCTTCCTATATAAAGAATCGTAGACAGTAGAACAACTTATAGACGTGATTTATCGATATATTACTTCGGTCTATATATAGCCTGAAGAATAGATTACGGACAGAGACACTAAGTTTATATCGAAGTTCTAGCAGGCACTTATAAAGCGCCTAGGAATAAAAAGCAAGCTTTTAATAGCTTATCACCCGTAGACAGATAGATAGATAGAACGACTTAACTAGATCGTAGAATAATACCTTCGGCTTTATATCAACTTTCAGCAAGATAACTAGGTTATACTTCTGCCTATAGCGTAGCTCGTATATAACACGTTACCTATAGAGACTATAAAGGTTATACCGTTCTTCGCGAACTTTGGATACTAGGTAGACTTGTACTAAGGACTAGACGTCTCGGTCCCTAGAGTAGTAGTCAAAGCTGATTAGATATATACGCTCTACGTAATGCTTAGGAACGAACTCGAATTCGTTAGAGGTAGGATAAAAGAGTACTACGATAAGTATAAGCTCGAGGGTCCTCGCCTAGAGAGGGGAGACAAGGTCTACCTTAATATATAGAATCTTCGAACAAACCGACTAAGTAGGAAGCTCGACTTTAAGAAAATTAGACTGTTTAAGGTCGAAGAGCGGATCTCGGAGAACAACTACTAGATTATACTACTAGTAACGATGAAATTCAGGACTAACGTCTTCTATATCGTACTCCTCGAACTAATACCTAGAAACGCTAAGCTTATAACTAACGTCGAAGCCTAGGACGAGGAAGAAGAATAGGATATTAAGGAAATCCTCGACTTATATACTAATAAAGAACGACTAGAGTATCTAGTTAAATAGTTGGATTTCGACGCTATAGAAAACTTATAGGAACTAGCTAAGAACCTCCACTACCCTAAGAAGGTTACGAATTTCTACTGCTAGAACCTAGATCGACTATAGGAAGTGCTAAAGGCGAGCTAGACGCTCTAGAAGGGCTACTCTAAAAAGTACTAGTATAACGATGTTAGCTAGAATATATAAAAAAAAGGATAGCCGATAAATACCTTCGCCGGGAGAGGCTTAGATATTTATCGACTATAGCTGTAACGGGATTCGAACCCACGGCCTTGCGCGAAGCCTTGCTCAACCCTAGGATAGCTAGAGGCCCTAAGGCTAAGTACGTAGCAGGCGTATACACTAACCACTACACTACGTAATCATTTCATTTATTAGAAGGAAGGACAGGAAAATATACCTTTAGGCTACCTAGGAGGGCGAGCCTGTCAGGAGGCCGAAGTCGCTTATCAGCGAAGGCTCTAACTATACCTCGGGGTATATATTGTTCTAGGCCGGAACAAAGTTATCGTCCAATAGAGGAGGAGTAGCCGATAATAGAGGAGGGTTGGTCTAGGCGTCCAACCCCGCTAGCGCCTCCGCCTCTTTACGCTCTACGCGCTCTAGCTCCTCTACGGAATCGATACCGCGGGAAATAGCCTATATCATCTTCTCGAACTATAGCTTCTTTTACTTCCGAAGCCGTAGGACCTGCTCCTCTACTTCTAAGAGCTTGTCTTTAAGCTTCTAGTAGCGAGAAGCAATAGACCGAAGTTAAGAAGGAGAGACACCGAGTACATCGTAGTTCGAACGTTTGAATCGGACGTATTCGGTATATCGGGAGGAATCGACCTTAGAGGCCTCGTAGGACTCGAGCCTACGAGCCTCGTAGGCGGAACAAGGACGTATCGTCAGGAGATCATCGGAAGAAAGGATCGTAGTAAGGAGGTGGTTAGCGCGGAGTATTGATACGACTTTTAGCTTCGTTTTCTTTATACGGTTAGACATCTTAATAAGCAAACGTATACGAATCTAGAAGGATAAAAGAGGGGAGACTTACTAGCGAGGCAGACTAGGGGAGTAGTATTTGATAGACGTTGGCGCTAGGGGAGAGCGGCTATTAGTCCTTTCGAGGACGAAAGTACCGAGGGAGGGGCATTGTATTACGAATATAGCTATATACGGTAACTCGAGGTAGGCGTACAGGGTATAGCCTGAGCTAATCGCTTAGCTAGCTAGTCAAGGGGTAATCGTAAGGATCGAGCTACGATTATAACGAAGCGTTAGTCAGTTAGAGTAATCGCGTTGCGATCACTGCGATTATATCAATGGGATCGCAGGAATCAGTCTACGATTACTGCGATCAGGGTACGTAGCTAGCAGTATATAGTTACAGGGCTAGAGGGCTCTGGGAGTCCTCTAGTAAGTAATACATTACAGTGTTTATAGTAACCTTTGTATTCTGTACTCATTGTGAGGAACATCTTGTTGTGAACCCTTTGGCTTCACCGAACCTATTGGACC